CTTTGTATTTTACAGCCTCCACCGGAAAAGTTCTCCTGCTACAAAATCTGATTTGAACGGCTAATGTAAATTAAATCTAAAACCCTATGCACCTCTCATTCTTAGTTTTAAGCTGACTTTTATGCTGATATGAAAATCTAGTTCAGATGAGGTTTGATTTATTTCTGTCTGTATTTTTCAGATTCAAAATTTTCCACTTGTTTTGATTCAGAGAGGCAATATTTGTTACGAGGGTGGTGTGGTGTGGGGACAGAGAGGACCCAAACGCAGCACTCTGAGCGAAGGAGGCTTATTTAGGGAAAAGGGGGTTGAGGGAGTGGAGGGAGAGGTGGATGCCGAGGAAACACTGGCACAGAGAAACCGACCGGACGGGAGCCAGGGAACACTGGGGCCAAGGAAGGGAGGATGCAAGGGAGAACTGGGAGGACGCCGTGGGGGAAGCCCGAAGAGGAGAGGTCCGGAGGACGAGGGTGAATGAACCGGGTATGGAGCAACGACGATCAAGCAAGAGTGGAGAACCGGGGTTGAAATACAGGCAGGGATGAGGTCGACTACTGGCAGGTGTGGCAGGCTGACGAGGTGCAGGTGCGGGTCGTTGGCTGAGCTCAGGAGCAGAGACAGAGAGGAGGAGCACACAGGGGAGAAAACACAGGGAGGCAGGCAGGGAACAGAAAACCAAGGAAAAAGCAGAATAACTGATAAAAAGGAGAAAAAGAACAGGACACTCACCGTCAGCTGGGCTGCCACCACAACACTATATGGCTTATTACACAGTGCATGAGTGGGAATGCATTCCTAAAAGTCTCTAAATTAACTCAATATCTCATAAGAAATAAATCTAAAATATCAGTGAATTAAATCATATTCCTGACATGAAAACCAGAGTGAAATTTGGGGTAATGATTACCTCTCCTTTCTCCTCTCCTCTCCTCTCCCCTTCTCTTTCTTCCACTCTCCTCATCCATCCTCCCTTCTCTCTTTCCTCTGTCCTCTCTTCTCTGTATTATTCAGTGTTTCCAATACTGAGAGACAGGAAATAAAGTTCAGGAATCACTAGAGTTGTTGTGCATAAGGTCCATAAGGCCAGATTTACTACAGGTTGTTTGTGCGTGTACAAGCGAGTGCAAACCTCAGCTGTTATCGGTACCAAAGTCCTTTTAGGCAAGTCATGCCACTCGGCAGCCATCTTGGCAACGCTTCTGGGCAGCAATTTCATACTAACAAAACCAGGCTCCTATCTGAATGAATGGGGAGAGAGCCAGAACTGAGCTTTCACTGGTCACTGGGACATAAAAACTACATGAATAGAATCAGCAGTAAAATATGATAAAAATCCCTGAAAAAGTTTGACGACTTTGCCCCAAAATAATGTTTAAAAAGAGTTTTTCCCCACCGGTTATGCTTCTACTAAGCATGTGTCAGTGGAACCACACGATTGGCTGAAATATGATTCATGTTTTGGCTGTTTAAAGCAGATGATTGGCTTTTTAGCGGGAGGGGCGGGATAACCGCCATCTTTGCCGTTACGGGCTTTTCCCATAGAGTTGTATTGGGGATGTGATTGAACGCTTCCTCTTTCCTCCTCAGTTGGCAGTCTTCTCCTTTTTGTATGATTCAAAGACAAAATTTCTAAACTTCCTAAACTTAGTGAAATTATTTCAAATGTTTAGGATGGAAAGTTAGTAGTGTTACTAGTAGTGTGTGGCGTTGGAAGGAGCACGCATGGGACGAGCAGCAGAGCAAACTAAGCTGAACACACGTTTGTAATGTTTTTTACAAACGTCTTGGCATGTGTGAGCTACAGGACACTCAGACAAGCAGCATGGAGACATTTTATTGATTATTGATGTATTTTTGGACGTTTGAAGCTAAGATACCGCTCACTGCAGTTGAGTGGATAAAAAAACGTGTCTCAAACTCACAGAAGAACACGGATGTTAACAAAACTTCACCAATCCTTCTATTGACAAAAGGGTGAGTAATTGATAACAAAATGAGTCTTAGGGTGAACTATACCTTGTTGTATTGTCATGCAAACTTGCTGGAAAATGTTTTATTGAGAAAATTATTTCTTCACTTAAGAAAAATAAATGGGTTGTTAAATGAAACAGTTGCCTCATTTTTTTGTTCATTGTTTCAATAAAGAAAAACATTAAGAACAAATTTAACAAATATTATGTAAAATGTTGTGTAAATGTTACTTAAATATAGTCTAAAAATAAAAGTTAGAGAAGGAATTTAAAATTTGTGATTGACTCAAGAAAGTTCCACTTTTTGACTTAAGTTATGAAAATAAAAATACCTTGTGCAAGATATTCAAATTTCTGAGATGCACCTGTAGATGCACTATCCACCTTCTTTAATTTAGAGAAGTCAGTTGTTTTGAAAAGACAAATGGTGTGTCTCCGCCTCCCTGATGGAAAGATGACCACAGATCCAACAGAGATGAGGAAGCATAATGGATTACTAACTAGATCATCTTTGTATGAACTTGTAAATGTACTTAGTTACACTCCACTACTGGAAGTATTTAAATTGATGTGCAAAAATATCAGTCTGTTCAGTAGATGTTGAGATTTCTTTGAATTAAAAACAAAAGAAACAGAAACACAGACTGACCTCACGATGGCGCTCTGGAGTCAACAGCCAGCAGAGAGCTCTCTCTGTCTCTCACAGTATAGCTTTGTCCCTAACTCTTAACCATCACAACTAAATGACCCAAACCTTCATTGAACTTAAACTTTATTTAATCTTCAACCTAAAACACTCTTTTAAAGGTCTGTCCAAACTGAGGACAGACAAAACGTCCTCACTCCCAAGGTCTCAAACTCTAATTGGTCCTGACAATTATAATTACAGACACAAAATTTTGATTTCTGTTACATGTAATCAATAATTATTTCAATAATCTTCAGGCTGTTCTTTGTTCAGCATGTTTGGAGATTTAAAATGTGTCTGTGGACGAACTGAACCTGGAAACTGTGGTCATGTTTGTCCTCACAACATAACATAAAACCATGAAACATTAAATACAAACATTGTAATGGTAAAAAAAATCCATCCTCTGTCCTTTCCTAAACACTTTTCCTTGACTTTGATGGAAAACGTCATGAGGTCAAGGAAAGATGTGAAGGAGAATTCATAAAAGACAACCGCGGTGCTCAGAGAACCAGGCTGCACTTACACCAGCTTCTTTTAACCAACTTTATTTATAACACGCGGAAGATGAGTACAGTGACAAACTCAATGCTGCTCACTTCAAAAGGTTTCCTGTCCAACACAGAATCACACCTCCTAAGAAAGGATGTTTCATTTGGTACATTTAACCATCAGTTAGGCTGCTCATAGGAAGTAACAACAACATAGATACTGCTGAAAAAACAAAAAGGATTAAAATGCTGACACAATATAATAACAAAATCAATATACAAGTAGAGAAAGTTGAGCGTAAGAGTAAAATGTATTCAAACATAAATATAGAGTTTCCTGGGATGGGTGCTTTTGATCTTGTTTACACATTAGTTAAATAGATGCTCTGTTGTTTCTACAGGTGCATCTCAAAAAAATTTAAAATCATGGAGAATTGAAACTTTTTAGATTAAAGTTATAATAAATATACTACATAAAAATTGACCTGAGAATCAATTCAAAACACCTGCAAATGTTTCCTGATCCTTTAATCTCTCAGTCTGGTTCAGTTCACATAAACTTGTCCAAGATATTGTAATTTTTTTAGATGATCCTGTACATTTATCATACATACATCTATCGTGGTGAAACTATAATGGTGAGTCGCTTTAAAGGCTGCTGTTGCAAGGAATTGTGGGACGGCAATATCTCCTTTCCTTTCATAAAGGATGGTCCAGTGTAGCCTTTGCTAAAGGAACTAAGAAAGGAAGCATTTAAGAGCCTTTACTTAGCATTTAGAGAAATCAACCAACTTCTTTGATGGCGCCACTTAAACACCTCGGGGTCATTTCTGGACTTGGTTTCTGGTAACATACCGTAATGATGGTTTTTGATAGTGAACCTAACAGTAAAATGTTCCCTGATTTGTTCTTCAATCTTGCAAAATAGAACATCTGCTTTCAGTATTATTAAACTTGACTAAGACTCTGGCAGCAGCTGGTTAAGGTCAGAGAAAGATGGTGGTCTGGTTTATTACAGTAAAAGTGACTTACAAACACTAAACAGCACGAGGCGAGACAAAGGCCAGTTTGAAGAAAAGAGTCTGCTGCTGCTTTTTAAAGGCGTGAAGAGACTGAGGAACGTAAGTCTAAAGAAAGAGCGTTCCACAGTGTCGGAGCCAATACTTCTACTGTTTTCAGCATCTGACGCCGTCACTATGGAGTTTTGGTAAAAGCTGAAATGGAAGCGCAGAGAAGTGTGTAACACTCTGTCTCCTTAAGGCGGCGTTCCAGGTGAAATTTCCGACTGGGAACAAAATCCAACTTCATGTGTCAAATGCAGCATTACTGCCTGCTGTTCTGACCCTGCCTGCCTGTTTCAAGTAAAACTGACCTTTGTCTTTATATTGTCTGTCTCTGAGTCATGCGAACGGCTTCACCACTGCCAGTTTCCTTACTTTATTTGTGGCAATGATGTGTTTCATTGAAAAGAAGAAGTTAAAAGTGTGAAGAGCTATGGAGGTGTTAATTCGACTCTCAGAAGCGACTCAGTTGAGATGAGCGTTGTCCCACTTCCTCTTAGTTTGCTTTAATTATTTTAATAGCAGAACATAAAAAATAACCTGAACAGAAATATAGATGTTAAAATGACTGCATATCAAACAATAACAGCTGATACAGAAATAACAGTAAAAACTAATACATGTTTAACTACAACACAGCACTAGCACATTAAAGTGCCCGACAGCAAGTTCATCAAGCTAAATGTCCCATATATTATCATAAAATAATTCAAATAATAAAACATTTATCAGTTCTCAGTGTAAATTACCTGTAATGATATGAGCTGTAACTACACTGTGGTCTCTTATCTGTTTGGTTAGTTGACGGTGGCGTAGAGGTCGCTGGGATCAGCTGAGGCTCCAGCAGAAGAAGAGGAAGCTTTCACGCTGCTGTAGGTCACTGTGTTGTTGTCAGGTAGTCTCTGGTTACCAGGTAAATAAATCACAGAGAAATATTTCAGGTGTGTGTTAAAAAATAAAAATATATTAATAAAACAGTAAGCGTGTGTGTGTTAAAAATAAAAATATATTAAAAATAAAATAAAATAAATAAATAAAACAGTAAGCGTGTGTGTGTTAAAAATAAAAATATATTAAAATAAAATAAAATAAAACAGTAAGTGTGTGTATGTGTGTGTGTGTGTGTGTGTGTGTGTGTGTGTGTGTGTTTAAAAAACTAAAAATATATTAAAAATAAAATAAATACAAAAACAGTCAGCGTGTGTGTGTTTAAAAAATAATTAAAAATTAAATATATAAATAAAACAGTAATTGTGTGTGTGTGTGTGTGAATAAAAATATGTATATATATATATATATATATATATAAAAATGAAATTAAAATAAAATAAATAAATGAAACAGTAACGTCTGTGTGTTTTTCATTCTCCCATCACACCAGTTCTGCAACCTCAGTACCAGACAAGCACTTTAAGAGGAAGAACAGGGAAACAAACAAAGAGAGTAGAGGAAGACATGTTGTTGTTGAAAAGAATCTAAATAAGTTAATTTTCAGCAAGGATCCCTGACATTTCTTCATTTTATGTTGTAACCAATGCTTTGTTCCCGACACTTTCTGACACTTCCTTTAGAAATGATATGTTAAGTTCCTCTCATCTGATGGGATTCCTAGGAAATGCTAACCTTAAGGTTTAACTACTGACAATTGTTTTCCTTTTTATCAAATGCTTAAAACTAAGAACGGTATACCCGTTTGACAATTAAGGTCTGATTGTGGGAAGATATTTGATTACAATACGTGCAAATAGATTTTAGAATAGACATATTAAAAGACTCTCAGGAAACCGGAAACGAGCCCTCAGGGAAACAAAGGACTGCCCCTCTGGGAACCACGCCCCAACAAACAAAAGCAGCGACGCTCGCTCGCTCTCTTGCCCTCTTCGCTCTTCCCGTGCACTTCGGCATGCGCACAGCGTGCCCCGTCTCCCAGCAACGCCCTAAGAAGTTCGGCTCGGCTTGCCGCGAAAGCTCTTTGTTCGTTTCAAGCCACACACCCGAAGCGCCGCGACCTCGGCTTTTCCCTCGTTTCCAGCAACTTACTAGCTTTTTTTATTTCTTTTGTTTGTTAAAAGTTATCAGACCGTTAAGTTACACAATTTTAATTAAAGAACGACCAAGTTCTTTTAAGTTATTCCGTTGATCTACCTTACACTGCTCCCACCGAAGCCCGGACCCAGCCACGTGGGCCCGCCTTGCCAGCAGTAACCCAAAGGACATCCAAACCAGAACAGCCTAACTGCCAGGCCGAGGACGGTCAACACTGGACTGTTTTTCTTCATTCAGACACGGAGAACCTCCGGAAAATTCCCTAGCAGAGAGCCAGGAATCGGGCAGCTAGCGTGGGGACCCGTGCAACAGGCCAAGACAGGCCAGCAACACACAGTAAGGCAAACCAAGGCATTCTGTGATCAGTGATGTCCAATAGTCTGCTGATCCATTATCTTTAGTCCTTAAACTCATAGCCAAATTTAACTGAGTATCAGCAACTGCTTTCATTAGTTCTCTTTCTCCCTATGAATCAAATTCTTCCCCAAATTATTGATCAGCAGTATGAGATGCAGCCAACAGTAAAGATGTCAGAGGTCAGAGGTCACAGCATCCTGACAAAGATCCACCATCTACAAACACATACGACAAAGTCACTGATAACGAGACAAAGGAATATGTTTCTGCACTGAGCCAAACTAACACTGAAACAAACAAACTATATTAAGGCTCAAGTTCACAGTTTGTTCAGTCCGGTGTATTTGTGACAATGACGAGTTTCATCTCCTTAAAAGAAGAAAAAGAGGAAGTTGACGTGTGAAGATTGTTGGTTAAGATAAATGTTGTTTTCTTCAGAACGTGTCACCCAGTGCAGCAGTGAAGGTCACTGACTGGTTTTAATAGTACTTTTCGTGGGATTTGTTGAAAATAATAAAAATATTGCTAATCATCAGATTGTTCCTTTAATCAGTCAGGTGTCATTCTTCACTGTATAAAGTTGTTTTCCTGAGCTAAATGTGTCACTTTACTTAAAGCAAACAATTACGTGTTATAAGTTCTTATAATTAGTTCATATGGTATCATGTCCACCTGTAATATATTATACAGGGATAGATATTTTAACACTTAAAGCAAACAAAGACACGCTATATAACATTAAACATTACTATAAGTTATTATTCCATTTTATATCACTAAGTCTAAATGGTGACTAAAGTGTATTCATAAGGAGGCAGAGTCGGTGGTTATAATGTGTTATGGAACATGGTCGGAGATTGTTAAACTGCTGTTACTATTAGTTATAAAACATTAAATCAGAAGGTCATAATACGTTATGAACTTTGCTATAGCGCCTAATGCATGTTTGTAAGTGATTATAACAACTATTATAATGTCTTATGGATGCATTATATCGTGTTATAAATATATGCATAAGTCATTATAGCGATGACCTTCATAGAAAGTGATACAGTTCAGTGTTTAAGTTTTAGTTACATCTAGTGGGTAACTAAAACTCAGATGGTCATTCTTCTGACTTCAGTGTGTGTTCATGTGCTCTTAAGTCTGAATGTGGAATCAACAAATCTCATTTACACTGGAGACATGTGTCCCCACCACATTTTGAAATGGCTGATGTTGTTCTGAAAAATAGCTTGCACCAAGAAATGTGAACTAACAATAAAAATGCTTTGAGAAACGTTTATTTGCAATTTAAATATAGAAAAAACAAATGTGCATTGTCCAAAAATTGCAGCTGAATCTGCATCATATTCTGTTATATTTTTATACATTTACACCTTTAATTCTCCTAATTTCTTTTGTACTATTACAGCAGTGGTTTTAACTTTTATTACAGTTTTAATTAATTTAAATGGTCGGGGGGGCAGACGCCGTCACTATGAGTTTTGGTAAAAGCTGAACTGGAAGCGCAGAGAAGTGTGTAACACTCTGTCTCCTTAAGGGGGCGTTCAAGTTGGAATTTACGACTGGAAACTGGGAAAATCCAACTTCATGTGTCAAATGCAGCATTATTACCTGCTGTTCTGACTCTGCCTGCCTGGATCAAGTAAAACTGAACTTGGTCTTTATATTTCCTGTCTCTGACTCGTAGGAACGGCTTCACCACTGCCAGTTTCCTCTGAAACATGACAGTTAGAATAAACTATATTTAGATTCACACTGAGCCTCAAGTTCACACTTTGTATTTGTGACAATGACCCGTTTCACCACATGAAAGGAAGACGAAGAAGAAGAAGGTGCAAAGAGCTCTGGAGGTGTTAAACCTCTACAGAAATATAGATGTTAAAATGACTGCATTTCAAACAATAACAGCTGATACAGAAATAACAGTAAAAACTAATACATGTTTAACTACAACACAGCACTAGCACATTAAAGTGCCTGACAGCAAGTTCATCAAGCTAAATGTCCCATATATTATCATAAAATAATTCAAATAATAAAACATTTATCAGTTCTCAGTGTAAATTACCTGTAATGATATGAGCTGTAACTACACTGTGGTCTCTTATTTGTTTGGTTAGTTGACGGTGGCGTAGAGGTCGCTGGGATCAGCTGAGGCTCCAGCAGAAGAAGAGGAAGCTTTCACGCTGCTGTAGGTCACTGTGTTGTTGTCAGGTAGTCTCTGGTTACCAGGTAAATAAATCACAGAGAAATATTTCAGCTCTAAACTTACAGGTTATGTTAATCAGTGTGAACAAATGTTGGTCTGAATGTTCTCACCTCGAGCTCTGATGAGAAGAACAGTAATCACAGTAATTAGGAGGAGTTCAGCCACACGCATAACCAACATTATGTAGTCCAGAGCAGAACAATCTGCACGAGCTGTAGAACAGAAAAAAATCAAAAAACTAAATGAAACACTTAAAAGTTAGATTCATGTGTTTATTATGGGAGAGAAAGAGGCTGACAGGAAGACAGAGAGACTCCAGAGAAAGATGAGTTACTACCTTGTAGTTTTGTTGAAGTATCGTTGGTTGGAAGACAAAACACTGATCAGTCCTGGCTAAATAAGCTCTGAAGAGAGCTGCACAGGTGCAGCCCAATCAGCCTCCCTGCCTGCAGCCTCCTGCAGGAGAAGGAAGGGGTCGTAACATCCCCCCCTTAAGAACAAGGTTCTTTAAAAAACCTTGAATTTGGCATAGAGCAGTTAGCAGTACAATATACACTCATAACCATTCATGTTACAATATAATCAAGCTGATCCATAATTTATCAACACATTACCCATGTGCCATACTTTACTAATCAAGCTGCATTAATTCAAATTCAATTCAAATTAGCTTTATTGGCATGAATGTGTAACAACAATATTGCCAAAGCATCATACATAAACATAAGAACAATCAACCCCATACATTTCATTAAACAAGTAATTAAAGCGTAAAGCAATCAAAGCGCATATGTGTGTTAAAAAAATGAAGAATTAAAAATTAAAATAAATAAATAAATAAAACGGTAAGCTTGTGTGTGTGTGTGTGTGTGTGTGTGTGTGTGTGTGTTAAAAAAATATATATATAAATTAAATAAATGAAACAAGCACTTTAAGAGGAAGAACAGGGAAACAAACAATGAAAGAAGAGGAATAGGAAAAGAAACACATGGCATTAAAATGGCGTATGTCTAAATTGTATGGTTGAAGAAACAGCCTGTCTACTTTCAACACGGGGCATCATTCTTCCAATGACCGTTGGCACGACAATATCGGCAGGTGTCAGTTTTAAATGATGCACTACGCCCTCCATTACAGATAAAACCCTGGGCTACCTGAGCAGAAGACTCCCCCTATACCCATGCTAACTTCAACAATGACTATCTAGCCAACTCCCCCCTAGTCTTCGTGCAGCTAATTGTGGAGGGTACTTATGCACTCGAAACCAGTGGGGTGAAAAAGGGCAACCAGAAAGCCAGTGACCCCGTCACAGCCGCGGAGGTGCTCCCGAGCAAAGCTCTACCCACGTTCACCGCCACCTAAACCACCACACCACGAAGGGAAATCGCTGTTAAGCCTAACAGGGGAAAGTTCTCCTGCTCACACTAGAAAACCCAGCTAAGGTCCAACAAAACAAATTCAGCCAGCAGAGCTAAACCACTGACAAAAGGACCATGAACCTCTCTCCTACGGAGCTTTAACTGACCTAACCAAACCTGACATTTACCTCACAGACTGGTAAACAAATACCAAAATAGCTGGATGCTACACAAAACAAGCCGATCAACACCAAATAACAACAAGTTCCAGACGAGCCCCCACTTGTCACAAGCCAGCTCTTAGCCCGTGACAAAAAGGAGGTGAGACACAACAGGTTTGAACGCAAATGGTAGGATTTATAATAAAAGTAAAAGAAGGGTCAAATGATCACCAAAAATATGTTGTGTGGAAAAGTATGAATATCAGTTGTGTCAGCAGTGAATGGATGAGTGTGTGTGTGTGTGTGTGTGTGTGTGTGTGTGTGTGTGTGTGTGTGTGTGTGTGTGTGTGGTCAGGATAAACCAAAAAGACACAAAACAAACCCAGTCAGACGCTGACTTAGGAGGAGAGAGAACAAAAGACTGATCAGTCCTGGCTAAATAAGCTCTGAAGAGAGCTGCACAGGTGATTGCCCAATCAGCCTCCCTGCCTGCAGCCTCCTGCAGGAGAAGGAAGCAGGAAGGGGGAGGGGTCGTAACATCTCTCACCCACAGTGACTGACGGAGACCCCAAATTCTTGATCAGCAATATGAGATGCAGCCAACAGTAAAGAGGTCAGAGGTCAGAGGTCACCGCAGCCTGACAAAGATCCACCATCTACAAACACATACGACAAAGTCACTGATCACGAGACAAAGGAATATGTTTCTGCACTGAGCCAAACTAACACTGAAACAAACAAACTATATTAAGGCTCAAGTTCACAGTTTGTTCAGTCCGGTGTTTTGTGACAATGACGAGTTTCATCTCCTTAAAAGAAGAAGAAGAGGAAGTTGACGTGTGAAGATTGTTGGTTAAGATAAATGTTGTTTTCTTCAGAACGTGTCACCCAGTGCAGCAGTGAAGGTCACTGACTGGTTTTAATAGTACTTTTCGTGGGATTTGTTGACAGTCCTACTGGCTTGCTGCTAACTGATGGCTTCAGTAAACAAACACAGATGATTTCACAGTGTGAGATGCAGAGAACTTAAAGTTTGACTTGTTGCAGTTGATGAAACTTCCCTCGATCTAAAACAACTCAGTGTTCAGGAGCATTATATTATGTCCCAGTCAGGACCTGCACAATAACATTAATCAGCCCCTACTGGCCTGAAGGGGAAAATATCCAGATTCAATACTAACCTGACCAAAACACACATCTGTTTTTTTCATAGAAGACATTTTGACACAGCACAGCAGGAAAACAGATTTAAATTAAACAATTAATGATGGCTGGATTCCATTTAGCTGCTTCAGTTTCAGAGTCCTGACAATTAAACACGTCTGCTGTGAAAAAGATCTAAAGGCTCCAACAGTCGTCATGCAGAGCTGCTTCTGAACCGGTCTAACAACCAGACGTGTTTTAAAGCAGATAAAAACACTTAAGTTTTAGTTTCATCTAGTGGGTAACTAAAACTCAGATCGTCCCATTTCCCGAGTTGTGAAGTCATTCTTCTGAGTTTTTCTGTGTTCATGTGCTCTTAAGTCTGAATGTGGAATCAACATGTCATTTACACTGGGGACATGTGTCCCCACCACATTTTGAAATGGCTGATTTTGTCCACATCACTTTTTGAGAGCATTTGTTAATAATGTTCTGAAAAATAGCTTGCACCAAGAAATGTGAACTAACAAATAAAAATGCTTTGAGAAACGTTTATTTGCAATTTAAATATAGAAAAAACAAACGTGCATTGTCCAAAAATTGCAGCTAAATACTGCATCATATTCTGTTATTTATTTATACATTTACACCTTTAATTTCTTTTATACTATTACAGCAGTGGTTTTAACTTTTATTACAGTTTTATGCACAGCTCCTCTTCAGTTTATCTTTGATTTAATTAATTTAAATGGTCGGGGGGGCAGACGCCGTCACTATGAAGTTTTGGTAAAAGCTGAAATGGAAGCGCAGAGAAGTGTGTAACACTCTGTCTCCTTAAGGGGGCGTTCAAGTTGGAATTTACGACTGGAAACTGGGAAAATCCAACTTCATGTGTCAAATGCAGCATTATTACCTGCTGTTCTGACTCTGCCTGCCTGGATCAAGTAAAACTGAACTTGGTCTTTATATTTCCTGTCTCTGACTCGTAGGAACGGCTTCACCACTGCCAGTTTCCTCTGAAACATGACAGTTAGAATAAACTATATTTAGATTCACACTGAGCCTCAAGTTCACACTTTTTTTGTGACAATGACCGTTTCACCACATGAAAGGAAGACGAAGAAGAAGAAGGTGCAAAGAGCTCTGGAGGTGTTAAACCTCTACAGAAATATAGGTGTTAAAATGACTGCATATCAAACAATAACAGCTGATACAGAAATAACAGTAAAAACTAATACATGTTTAACTACAACACAGCACTAGCACATTAAAGTGCCTGACAGCAAGTTCATCAAGATAAATGTCCCATATATTATCATAAAATAATTCAAATAATAAAACATTTATCAGTTCTCAGTGTAAATTACCTGTAATGATATGAGCTGTAACTACACTGTGGTCTCTTATTTGTTTGGTTTGTTGACGGTGGCGTAGAGGTCGCTGGGATCAGCTGAGGCTCCAGCAGAAGAAGAGGAAGCTTTCACGCTGCTGTAGGTCACTGCATCATCTTCATCATCACCATCTTTACCCAGAACCTGGAAAAGAGACAAACAGCACAACACAGAAATTACACAACATTAAATGAGAGAAGTGTTTTCATTCACTGCCATCATCACTAGAACCAATCAGACAGCTTACCCGGCCTTTACTGTTGGTCTTCCTGGTGTAGCTGATGGAGGCGTAGGAAACACCATCTTCAGGATCAGCCTACACAGAGAAGACAACATAATGGCTGCTCAGTAACATGTGGACTTGATTGTGTTCTGGTCTGTTCTGGTGTCGTCCAGCTGCATCATCAGACTCCCCACTTCTTCTCTTGCAGAAACAACTTAGATTCAAGAGTCACTGTGTGTCTCATAGAGCTACATTTTGAACAACAAATCTAAAAACAGTGAGTGTAACTTTGTCCTGGGTGTAGTGTGAGATCTCACCGTGTCCTGACTGCTTTCTGGACTCACTGCAGGGTTTAAGCTCCGTCCCTGAAAACAACAAACAAACAGAGTCTACTTCCATGTGGTCAAACACTGGCTCTGTGAAGGCTGTTTAGATTTGGATGACTCTGTCAGAGAGCAGCTGATTCAGCTCTGTCATAACTGTAGAAACATTTGATTACTCAGCCGTAAAACTCACAGTGTTTTCATCCATCTGGGGTTTTTTTCCTGAAGAGACAAAAGAGAGTCGACTTTAGCTTCAACAATAAAAATCCAGGTTCATCAAAACTTCTTGTTTATAATATCTGTGGTTG